ACCATATTATCATACGAGAAAAACACCATCGTGACATTTGAGACACACGGCAGATTTCTAGGAGTGAGGTACGCCTTGGACGCACTAATGAGCATCCATGCCATTCCTTTGAAGGGGCCAAAAGGTTGCATTTCCAAGGTTCCCCCTTGCTCACCCTCACAGTCTCACCATCCCTGCCTCCAAACAGATTGGCTTTTTCTTTTTGTGCACTGTATCCACCCTGACTCGTCTTGACGGGCACTTTCTTGGGCGTAGAGATGAGTCAGGCTGATGAAATGGTTCCAGGTGTCTGGACCAATAAGCAGATGGCTTTTCATGTTCTGAAAGTGCACAGAGATCCCGGGTAAGCACTCAAAAAAGGCATGAAAACATGTCACCATCACATCTCTGGCCATTCACAAGCCAAGACGATCACACAGTGAGGTGGGGGTCTATGGGCGTCGCGACTTAGACACTCCTCGTGGACGTGAAATCCACAAGGAAGCGCTCATTCCACCTATGCTTGGGAATGAAATTGACAAAAAAAAGTGAAAACGCAGACTGCGCCACTTCGCCTCAATCGATAGTCTTCATTTCATTCGAGTAAGAGTTATTTACTATTATTTATTGTGGTTTCAATTAACACAATTGCGATGTCGACTCATTTCTCATTATCGTTGGTGGTAAGAATGTACATCTTAAACAACCTATATTTTCTACATTCAACAATCATTTGGTAGATTATCCAAGTCCTAGCAATCTCAGCTATTGGTGGGGTTTTGGATCTCTTGCTGGTATTTGAGGGGCGCAGCGCATGTATCAACACATGACTTCCCTGCTGATTGTCCGCACCGACACATTTGTCATTTGGTCGGATACTCGGCGGAGTTCCCAGCATATATCCAGCTGCCACAAGGAAAATTCCTTGTGGCGTTCTTGTGGCCCCAGCCAATTTTTCCTTATCCCCAAGGGACCTTGCGAGGTCCCCTGGAGATCTCGCGAGGTCCGTTGGAGCTCAAGGAACCGCGATTCTCGGAGTGGCGAAGACATGCGTCGACGGAGAGTTTTGGTTTTTCAGTGGTCCAGACGTGGTCCGACGGCGTTAGCACGAACATCCCCGCCCTCCAACGTCTGCGTTATCCCCCAACGGACTCCAACGGTTGCCGTTGGTGCTTGGGCTCCGTTGGGTGGCCTCATCGTCTTCGGCCGGCGTCATGCGGTCTCCCACGCTCAAGGAACGTCCGCAACGGTCGGTGATTTGAATTTGTATCCTGGCGGCGCCTTCAGTCCGTTGATGGAAGAGGTTTCGGCACGAGCATCGTATTCCCTCATGTGTCCTCATGTGCTGCACGTCCGACAAGACTCCTGCCTACACTTCCCTCTCCGTCGTCGTTTGCTGGACGTCCGACAACAGACGTGGCATTGCTGCCCTCTCCACCGTGTCTTTCATGGCCGACCTGTACCACAGGCTACCTCTGCTGCTCCTCTTCGATGTGCTGCTTCTGGTGGTCCTGTTGTTCCATGTGTGCTTCCTGGGGCGGGTGCCACACATTGCTTCCCTGGCCACCGTGCTCTTCATGGCCGACATGTACCGCAGGCTCCCTCTGCTGCTCCTCGTCATTGTGCTGCTTCTGGTGATCCTCTTCAGCATTGTGACCCGGGGATCCCCGGGGGCTAAGCCAGGATGGGGATTTGACCCCCGGACCCCTGGCAGGGAGGATGCCTGACCCCCGCCCGCACCC